TCTTGGCCACTGCCTTTGAAATTGTGTCGGCAGCCTCGGCTTCACCCTCTGCCCTGATGACGTTGGCCTGCCTCTCCTGCTCGGCCTTCTCGACAATGAAGCGGGCGCGCTCGGCCTCTTGTTGTGCAATCTGCTTCTCTTCGACGGCCTTGGTGAACTCTTTGCCGAAAGTCATGTGGGTGATGGAGACGTCTTCGAGGGCAATATTGAACTCGTTGGCGCGCTTGAGCAAGTCGGTGCGAATGCGGTTCGAGACGGCCTCTCGCTGGGTGATGAGCTCGGCGGCATCGAACTGGGCGACGATGGCTTTTAGGACTTCGTTACCGATGGAGGGCAGGACACGCTCGTCGTAGTCGAGACCGAGGTTCTACAAGCGCGTTAGATGCAATTCCTCGGGCTGCCTGCTGCACGAGTGCGGAGGGGCATGGACATACCTGGTAGATCTTAGGCAGCTGCTTGACCTCTGGGCGATGCAGCACCCTCAGTGTGAGTGTCACCATCTGCAAGTCCTTGCTGCCGGTCGTAGTGCTGATATTCCGCGGCCTCGTCCTGACATCGAAGACAATTGCCCGCTGCAGCCATGGAACCAGAAAGTGGGTGCCCTCGTTGACGACTTGTTCCTTGACTCCCGACAGACGATCGAAGATGACGGCGCGGGTTCCGCCCTTGACGTCGTAGAGGGAGCTCTGCACGACACTGGCGCCGATGGCGGCAGGAACGACCCAGCGGAAGAGGGAGGTGGGTATCGCAGCCATTGTTGGCGGGTTGTGCGGATTTGGTGTGGTGAGGCGGCGGCAGGCAAGATGCGGAGAATCGTGAGAAGTGGATGATGCTTCTACTGGGAATATGGTCCGAGCGTCTGCGGCGAACGATGCCCGTGATTGGCGCAAACACTACCTACCACCACGGATGCACAACGAGAACATGCTGGCGGGTTTAGGCGTCTTCATTGAATAGTTCAGGCTGTTGCATCATATTCTTACTCGACCCTGGTACGCTTCTGTGTATGGGGAAGTCACGGAAGAGGGGCTGTCAGATCAGGGAGGAGGCACTCGGTAGATAAACAAAGAGACTCATATGCGTGTCGAAAAGGATGTATTCATCAACGCCGATGCTGATATGCATATGTGTGGCTTAAAGCCCATCTACGTACTCTCCGCCTCATCCATCACCCCCTTCACCACCACATTCTCATCTGAGCGACAGCTACCAGTTCAAGGTCGGCTCACTACTGCTCAATAAAGCCCTTGTGCTCCTTGTGCGCCTTGTACCAGTAGCTGTCCTCCTTCTTCGGCCGGAGCTCCTCTGACAGCTTGTCGAGGATGACCGCCAGAAGCTTCTGACGGCCATCCTCGTTCTCCGCGTCCCGGTTCCAGACGGCGATCTGTACAGCGTTCCAGCGAACGCTGTACGAGATCCCGCAGATGTCGTCGTTGAAGGCTGTTGAAGATTAGTCTTGAATACGTGTGAATTGTTGGAAAGGAATCAACTTACAAGCACGCTTCGTCTCGACGGCCCCCTGCAAAACGTCGCCAACCGCAAGCAGACACATCTCGTGCCAGAACTGCGCCGCCACGTCCTTGCTGACCTTGAAGTACCATGCGCCGCCGCGCGTATTCCGCGGGTCTTCCCAGACCGGCTTCACACCCAGGTGGAAGAGGTGTATCGAGTCTCGCAGCTTCAGGTTCTCCACCGGGATGTTGTTGAAGTGCTGGTAGAACTCCTTGACGGAGACGATCTGGTCTCCGAGCGGCTTGGGGCGGGTGAGGTACTCTTCTGAAGCCGCCTTGTCCTTGGGCGCGGCTTGCTGACCCTTCTCTGCCCAGAACATCCACTTGAAGCGGAACTCGGGTACTCGCACCGACTTGAAGATGTTGTTGAGCATGGCGGTGCCGCGCGCAGGCGAGGCCGTGGCTGACTGCTCTTCAGCCGATGCCTTCGGGAGGTCAGAGGTGCTGAGCACCGGGAAGCGACCAGCCATACCGGGAGATGTGATGGGGATGCCGAGGTTGCTGCTGATGAGCTGGAGTTCCTTGATGTTGGAACGCGCGGTGAAGATGCGCTTGCTGTTTTCGATAGCGAGGTCGTTGGCGAGGTCCTCGGAGGTCTCCTTGGGCTGGACGTTGGGGACGACGAGGATGGTCTCACGGGCAATGGCCTTGTTGAGGGTGACGAGGATGCGATCAGCGGCGACCTTGGCCTCGTACGTCAGGGGCTCGTTGGGGTAGGGTACGCCGTGCTTGGTCGCGTAGATGAGGTCTTCAAGAAGAGAGACGGAGGTGGACTTGCGGGCAGCTGCTGCAGTCCTAAGCTTCTTGCGGGTCTCGTTGGCCGATGCAAAGAAAACTTCGCGCTCCTTGAGCTTGGCCTGGTCAGCGTTCTGAGCAGCAGAGGCCCTGAGCATGCCGATGATACGAATGGTCTCGTTCATGGTCAAGGTGATGGATTTGAATGTGGTAAAGAATAGAGTGATGTAGAGAGGAGGAGTGACGACTGAGAGTCTCTGAATAGATATAGAAAGCTGGCGGATGGTGGTTTGCAGATTGTGAAGGCTTGTGAAGAACTGGAGTGTGATGGACGAGAGACAGTCAAGGACGAGCGATTGGAAAGTTTTTATGCTCTCCCAGCCTCCCCATTGCAAAGACAAACAATAGCAAAGAATTCTATTGTGGGCTTCGCTTGAATGACGGTGGTGAAGGTGAACGCTGGAGGTGAAGACGAGTGGACCAACCAGCGCTCAGCGTTGGGCTCGACGAAAACTGATCATGCTGGCACAATAGCAGAACGCGCAAGACGATAGCAGATGCTCAATAGGGAGACATGCAATCATCTGATGCTGATGGTGATGCTGTATCGGGGCAGATCGATCTTGATAAGATTCATGGATGGGTGCATGTGGGCAAATCTGAGGCCGACTTTCGATCGGGTGGCAAGAAAGAGACGACGGGAACGGAGATGGATGAACTTGTAGAGATTGTAGAGACATGAGAGAATGAGTACATACCTAATGTCTGATATCCAGAAATCTCGCGCAAAGACAATTGAGCCTTGCACACGGTTGGTGAATACTGATGAAAGTCTAAAGCGGGGCAGCGACACACCGACTCTTGCAGACACCGTCACAAGAGATATGAGAACAGGTAGAGAGGAGGATGACAGCAGCGAGACTGTAAAGATTGACGAGAAGGGGTGAGGTCGGATATGTACGAGGCCAGCTGGAGCTTTAAGAGGCTTAACCCCTCGGACAGCACAAGTCAGCCATGCAGGCGCCCGCTCTAACTACGTTTCAAGACGCCGTTTCACGACCCCTGCTGACACCAACGAGTCGCTTCTGCCTCAGGCCAATCTGCAGCCGCACGCCTTGGACTGTGGAGCATCTGACGGGATATCCCATTATTACAGATGTACTTGAACATGTCATGTGTGCATATCTGGTTGGCATTGGCTGTCGGCGCCATGTGCTGGAGAGGGCGGTGACGTAGCCAAGGGTCTTCTCCGGCTCGCTACCCTGGCGCGAGATCTGCACCCGTCTGCGCGAAACTTTGAATCTTGCCCAACTTTTTCCCCAGACTTTTGTAACCCACTTCCAAACGCGTAGACGTCCTTAACCGTCTCTCCTAAGGTTACCCATATCGAACACCACCAAGTAATTATGGCGCCATACGTCCACGAAGCCGTCGCGCACCGCAGCAAGCGCGTGCGCTTCTCCAACGAGCCTGAATCCTCGCCGCCCTCGATATCCTCCGACTCCGCCCTCGCGTCGACAAACGCTGCAGACGATTCTACCACGAATGCGAGCGACTTTGGTACCTCAGACAGCGACAGCGAACTGTCCGAATCGAGCGAAGAACCCAGCAGCGACGAGAGCTCAAGTGAGGAGGAAGACGACGATGGCGAGGACACAGAGATGGAGCTCGAGGAGCCACAATCACAAGACGGCGTCGTAAATCTCCGCGCCAACAGAGGCACGAAGCCAATTATGAAGTTGGGCAACGAAGATCTAGGTCCAGACATTCGCGGCTTCCTCAAAGACTTTCTGCCGCAGTTGAAGGCTGCGAATGAGGAACTGGAGGCGCAGAAGAAGGCCGGGACGCTGAAGAGTCTGGAATCTGTAGAGGGACAGGACGAGGGCGAGCCGTATATCGAGATGGTGAGTATTGAATCTTGAGGGTATCGTAGGGCGCTGCTGACAGTGTCTAGGACCTTGGACTAGGCGTTCTCGAAGAGAAAGACCCGAACGTGGACAGTGACAAGGACAGCGCGAGCGATGCGGAAGACGGCGATAAGGAAAAGGATGTGTTGGGCAAGCTGATGGGGCGCGAGAAGAGAGATCCTGCGAGCATCGAGGTCGTGCAAAACACAACAGAGTCAACATGAGATGCTGGCCAAGACGATTGCCGTCATTACGGGCGCCTTCAGTATCGAACAACTTCTGGGCCCGCCTTCAGAAACGGACTGAGCTACGGATACGACAGTGTTTGCGCGCGATCCGCATGCTCATACTGAGGCCTTCACCTATCCAGGCACTGGTTCGCCTGTCAAAGGCCTGATGTGTGAAGAGCGAACGAGCTTCGGTATAACCCCTCACCTGTGGCTCTGTGCGGAAGCTAATGTAGCATAAGGATCACGCAACCTTCCGGTATGCTCTTCAATGTAAAATGTAGACATTGCAGATATGGGACCTAGGCTCGGAGTTGAACGACTGGATATCAATATCACGCATACACAATCACATACTGCAAGCACGCAATGCTTCGTCCTGTGAAGAACCCACGATGCATTGGTGGCTATAAGTAGCCGCCCCAGCACTTACACTTACTCTTCCTTAGACCTCACAGACAACGCATACACACACTACCATTTACAGCATCATTCGACTATATCGACAACAAACTTGATCATCATTCCAGCTCCACGAGAAACGACTACGCTCAACGACCGTATCTTTCCCTCGTCAAACACAGTTGGGCCCAAGCCTCTTTTCTGTACCATCGGCCATTATGAGTGGAGTACCAGGTAGGGGTAGGGGTAGGGGTAGGGGTTCTGGAGACAAGGACGATGAGAAGAAAAAGGCTGATGAGAAGAAGAAGGCTGATGAGAAGAAAAAGGCTGAAGAGAAGAAAAAGGCTGATGAGAAGAAAAAGGCTGATGAGCAACACCGCAAGGAAGCGGAGCAAGGGCAAAGACCGATTCCTCAGGGGAATTTTGCGGTGACATCCTCTGGGAAGTTTGGAGCACCAAAAGCACCACCCAGCTATATGACATCCTCTGGGAAGTTTGGACCACCAAAAGCAGAACCCCGCTATATGGGTGAGCAAAAGAATATCTCGGTTGATTCAGCGTTCAAGACGGCCAGCTCAGTGTACAAGTCTAAGACTGGGCCTCCTGATTATGCCCATGGACCCAAGAAACCCGCCGTGGACCCATTCTACAACCTGAGCCAGGGCTCTATTGAAACAGGAGCAAAACTGAAACCGGGTAGACCACGACGTAGAGTTGCTACTGGCAATGCACAGCCCCAAGGTTCACAGCTGGGCCCTGCTTACCCTACAGCTCCGTCGATACCACAAACACGGGACACGTCGCATACTCATAGCTTCCAGCAGCCCTCGCAGCAACAATTACCACCCATATCGTCGATTTCTCATGCCTCTCGAGCTCCAGCGCAAGCTCAAACATTGGCAATGCCGCCTATTCAAGCAGGTAGCTCCCAGCAGCCTCCAGTGCCACTAGCAGCAATGCCACAGACTTTCAATCCCACTACCACTCCGGCGAGATCACGAACATGGGACACGGAGTATACTCATGCAGGTAGCTCCTGGCAGCCCCCACAGCCACGATCAGAAATGCCGTCGATTCTTAATTCCCCTCCATCTGAGCGAGCACGAACATTGGACACGTCGCATACTCAAGCAAGTAGCTCCCGACAGCTTCCACGGCAACAGCCGCGTACGTCTGTGTCACATTACCCCCCAGCTGGACAGGACACACAGCGAACTCAACCTCCACGTGCCTTCCAGCAACCCCTACCTAGATACGAGCAAGGTTACGCTGAAGAGTATGATCCACATCCCCGTCAAGGACATGTCCCCCATCAAGCTGCTACCTATGGTTCACTGCAAGGCTCATATTCCTATGACACACAGCAACCCGAATATGACGCACGCGAAGCATATCCAGAACCTCCTCGTCGACGACAGACAGACCCAAGTTCGGACATGTCCGCGGCTGTCACTCGTCCTCTTGAGACTCTGAGCCTAGACCAACGTCCCTATCTAGAACAACCACGACAACCTTATCAGCAACCCTCGTTGGGCGCGACGACGTCCAGTCGACCCGAAAGGCTGAGACACACCCCGCCATCTGACCCTGATGAGCGTGCAACCCAGCGGCGGAACACAGGAAACACAGAGGGAAAGAAGGCTGCGAGGAGATCGAACATTCACGATCTTATGTAAGATCGACTTTCATGGAGAGGATTCACGAATAGATCATATTGATATCATTTCAGCGATTGTATACTAGAATGATTGTGTGGGCAAGGGAGCGTGAGGTATGGGTTTAGAGCTGGCTCTAGACTCGAGAGGGAGGGGGGAACTCGAGTGTTTGCTACATGGGTTTCTTCGGCAACATGTCTTGGTTTTACATATGTACTTAGTATCGTGTAACTTTAGCATAACTTAATATCGATTCAGCGAAACAGCTTTGGCCTACCCATGATACATGCAGTTCTCGCCCACCCCCCATCTTTCAACATGCATCGCCAACGCCTCAAGAATGCCTGATTCACACCACCATCCTCTCCATCAATGCTCGTCTAATGACCAACACCTCCCTTAGCCCACGTCGCATCAGCATTCTCATGAATCTTCGGCACCTCAATATACTCCCTCACCCCCTTCTTCCTCTGATAATCACTATCAAAGCGCTGATCCCTCTCCTTCAACCTCTTCTCAAAATCCGGCATCTGATCCGCGGCCGTATAACTCGTCATCAGCTGTGGGGGTCCAAGCGGCAACTTGTCACCACGGTCAGTCTGCCAGAGATGGTAGATCTTGCCGTATAGCTCGACAACTTCTTCCATCTCTTTGTTCTCGGCTACTTCCCATGCGGCTTCTGGTACGCCGGTTGGACGCGGCATGATTAGCATTCCGGACTTTACTTCGAAGACGTGGGAGTGCCAGAGCTTTTGCTCTTCGGCGTCGAGGGTTGAGTAGAGTTTGGGTGAGATCATGTACTCTGAGATTGTATTAGTATGCAGTCTTGCGATTGAGGACGCAGGATGCTTACCAATGCCGATGATCCGCGCGCCTTTCTCGGGCGAGTCGTAGAGGATGCATTGGCGTACTTCATCGTTCAGGTGCGCGCAGTAGTGGTTTGCTTCGACTGCATCGCGCTTGGGATCGTGAGCGTATGCGTGGAAGGCGTTGAGGTGCGCGCATATCCTCTTGACTGGCGCGAAGTTCTGTACAATTGGTTAGCGTAGTCACTACACGAGCTAAATTATGCTTACCTGAGTCATACCAGCACCAGTTTCAAGTGTGTTGTTGTATGCACTCTCAGGCTCACCAGCCGTCTTGTTGTTCACGGGAAGCGAGTCCATGTTGTGTTGGGTTCTGGGTGATGTCGTTTCTAAGTGCTGATTGATGGTGCTACTGGTAAGGCCTTGGAGATATGAACTCTGTCCTTGCTTTTAATCTCAGTTATTTGTCGAAGTCGCCGACGATAATCGCCGTTTGGGAACAGTTATCGGCGTCTCAAATGGCGAAGATTTGAGAATGCACATGGGACCATGAACAGAGGTTGACGTCATGATGACTTTTGATTGGGTAAAACACCGGACCCTGCACCCCGAGATCTCTTCTTGGGGAAGCAAAAGCCGACCGACGAAGACACTGCATCTTCAACTAGGTCACTGTCGGCGTCTTCTCTAACATAATCCTCTTGTTGATTTTGGCAACCATAGGGAGGCCTGGAATTTCTTTGGAGCAACACAACACTAAAAGCTGCTAAAAGCGGTCTTTCAGGGTCTAACCGCGCACAACATGTAAAGCTCAGTACACTGCATACAACTTCTGAATGTACATTTCGGCTGCGGCGATGACTAAGCGTCTCCGATATCGTCTATATTCTAGACTGCGACGGTCTTGCATACGTAACCGCAATACTGACTGTCTCTGAGCGACTAAGGTGTAGTCGACCCTCTTCGCTTGAACCTGCACTCAACACCAGTCTGGACGTTGAAAGAAGCATTGTGTGTCTTCCACGGCTTGTCATGTGCCATCTCAAAGTCGAACCGATGCAGTACCTCGGTAGTTATCTTGTAAATCTGTGTCAAAGCGAGCTGTCTATTGTCAGTACTTCTCTAGTATGTGATCACGGAGAACTCACGGGTCTGCCAACGCATGTGCGTGTCCCAGCACCCCAACCTAGGATTGTCTTGTCCATCGCCCGCGTACGATCTTCACTCTGCAGCCATCGCTCGGGAACGAATTCTAGCGCATCTTTTCCAAATACGTCTTTGTCGTGCGAAACGATTGAAGGGTTCATTCCAACTGTGTAGCCTGCTGGGATGTATTTCCCACACAGAGTGATTCCTTCGCTTGGAGCATATCGAGGCATCGATACCGAGAATGGAGAGAATAATCTCAGGGCTTCCTTTACAGTCGCTACGAGGTATGGAAGAGAAGATACCTGGCTGTACTGTACTGGTGATGAGAGGGTACCGTTCTCAAAGGCCGCATCGACTTCTGCGCGCGCCTTTTCCAGTTTCTCGGGGTTCTTCATCAAGAAGTAGAAAACGGAGCGCATTGCGATGGACGTGCTATCAGCTCCAGCCATGCTAATAACAGTCAACATGATACTCCACGGTAGCTGTTCTTTCAGTACACATACATTGCAACCCACATGTCCGATGTGATCTCTCTGTGCGAGTAGTTGACTTTCTCTCCCTTTTCTTGCACAATCGCCAGCAGCTGAGAAAGTAAGTCGGGCCGCTTTCCCGTCACTTCAAGGGTTCTCTCGGTAGCTGTCTTCGTCTCTATAATCGCAGTCTTCTTGATATCCTCCACAGCCAGCACAGCCTTCAGTAAGCTCGGGATGCACACAGCTACCAGAAGCAGGAACGGTCGGATGTAGTACGGAGTGACTGTTAGAAGGGTAAGAAATGGCATTGCAAGATGGACCGAGTGGATGTAGTTGTTGTAATCGATGCTGTCCTTGAGAAAACCAAAGGCTTGACCGAAGAAGGCGACACCGACGCTGTCAAACGAGTACCTAATCCACAAGTTAGACTGTGAAATCGGTGAAAGCTAATTTGTAACTTACATCTCGAGCCAAAGACCAAAGTCAAATACTTCGTTGCTATCGGCGAAGCTACCCAATCGTTCAAGAAAGAGTTCCAAGGTCGCATCCAGATTCGGTTCGTTTTTCAGTATGCTGGAAAGGGAATAGACACCTCCAACAATCCTTCGATACGCTGCGTGCGCTTTCTCGTTGGTCTGCGTGAACAAGTCCGGCTGGCTGTTTAGTCCTGATGGTCGCCATGGATTGTACCAATCCGTCTTTTGTAGGGCCTTTTGAACCGGGTAGATGTGTGGAATGGCCGTGGTGTCGGTCGTCACTACCTCATCGGGTGCGATTCGAATGATGGGGCCATATTTCTGGTGAAGAACGCGCTCGATAATCTCAATGTCGCCTTTGTGATGGTGCCACATAAGCCATGTTCGTGATACCGATGCCCAGAATGGTCCTGGAACCTTGGCTAGTGGATGGAGGGTTCGAGTATAGATGGTCCAGACGAGATAGTATGAGACGAAAGATGAAGAAAGGTAGATCAAGAGGACAGATCGAAGATGTGCACCCAGAAAAACATCATGTAGAAGCGTCATGTTGCATATCCCGACGTTGAAGGACAGAAACACCACGCGAACGATGGTGGAGGGGACAGACGGAATTATCTTCCATCGTCGCTCATCGGTAACTGCAGCACTCTGCAGCCAACCCTTTCAGGCCCCCGATAGCGAGCTACGACTCGAACAGGCCGTCCCAGTATACTGAAAGGAGAGACGATGCCGAAATGCGGGTCTCTCTACTGTGGGCACGCTGCAAGTGCCGGGGCGTACCGCAGACCCTCGCGTTCTGGCCATGGTGTGCGCGTTGCACGAGTCGCAAAAGCAAACTCATGTTATTCTCAGCTTCGCCAGCTGAACCAGAATCGCTTGTGATACCCGCGAACTATTCGTTGTTCAATTTGGTGTGTCCAGACTGTCCAGCATCGCTTTTTCTCATTGCCATGTGGCGGGGAGTCGGAAGGATGCTGCCGCGCTCGGAATGGCCGAATGGGGGTTGCTTTTGCAAGGGTGTCCACGGCAGCACCCTAATCGCAACACCCTGTTCATAGCAGGCTCAGCCGCCATCCCGTGTCGCCTATCCCGCCTGCCGCCTCCAGAGTTTTGCATGACTTGTGATTCCTCTGACTTTGGTGTCGAATATGGACGCAGCTTACTCGCGTCTTTGTCTACAGTCTCCTACGCTGCCACGAAGCGAAGCGAAGCCAGCCCTCCACACACCTACCGTCCCCCAACGCCGCCTCAATTACGCCAGAGATGCATAATCACGATGCATGAGACTATAGTCTACAAATGCGCAAGCCTAAGAGCCGCTTCTTAGCTTGCAACAACGTCTAGACTATCAATTTGACGTTGTGTGGATATCTGGACTTCCGCGGAGAGCCAATAGGATCTGAAACCGCGATGATGGATGCACAACCTTGAACGCCTCTCCATCTTTTTTCCCAGGGCACCAGGAATACTATGGCCGTGAGGGCAACGCCGTGTAGTAGGCATTCGGGCCTTTGTACACTGGCGTAGCCACGCATTCTAAGAATTGATCGGATTACTCACTACGCAGTTTACTACATCTTCCCAAAACAACTTCGCATCGATGTGTATGTCGGCGAAGACTCAATTCAGCTAGGTTTCTGATCCCATTAACCGTTTCGGTAGTCCCCGAATGCCGAGCCGCCTGGGACGGCACGTCTGTCATGCAGCCTGCTCGGTAGAGTTCGCCTCGAATCCTACGCAGGTCAAGCAGAAACAAATTCTCCTGAATATCAACTGGGATATCGAATACCGGGATGCTGGTAAGGATGTACGGAAACGTGCTGATGATACCCAAGATTCGGGATGGCATTTGGCCATGGCTGCCTTTCTTCTGCTTTTTCACCACTGTAGTATACTATATGAATCAGTGATCATTGAACGAGGATCGACAGCTCGTCATACTTGTGGCTCACCTTCTTGATTATAACTTAGTACTCAACATGCGGTGGAGCGAGGTGCTCGTTGTAGGGCTCACAACATTGAGTAGCGTTGTGCATACAACTCTAGCACAAGATGGCTTGAACATGCTACCGCCATGCGCAGTAAGTCATGGTTCCTCCTCCACTTCTATGAGAGTCCATCACTGACAGTACTAGGCAAAATGCTTCCAGAATGCTGTCACTGCTCAGAGGACATGCTCACCCACTGATGTGCGATGTATCTGTGACAATGAATCCATAAACGCGGCCATCCAGACCTGTGTGGGTGGCGCATGTTCAGTTAAAGAATCCCTCAGTAAGAATCCCAACCAGGTTCTACGTCAATCGCGCTGACCTGAGCCGAACAACAGCTGCTGTCAACGTCACTTCCACCATGTGCGAGAGGCCTGTCCGCGACCGATCCAACGTCATATTCTTGACCGGTATCACAGCGGGTTCCGTTGCTCTCGCCGCCGTCACCATTCGCACGTGGTCTGCAATCAGCCAGGACTCGTTCGGGCTTGACGATGTCTTTGCAATAGCAGCTGAAGCAGCTTGTCTCCCCGTAACGGTGATACAATGTTACACACCAAAGCTCGGTTTCGGAAAAGACACTTGGGTAGTTCCCCATAGCGATATCTACAAGGTTTTGAGGGTAAACAAACGATGCTCAATGCGAGGATGTCTACTGACTGCTCAACAGCTGACCTACGGCTCCCAAATATCTTACTTCCTCTGCTGTGGACTTACGAAGCTCGCCTTTCTATTCTTCTTCCTTCGCATCTTTCCCTCGGAGACGACCCGAAAATGGATCTGGGTGTTCATCGTCATATCAGTGCTCTGGACAATCGCATTCGCATTCACAATGACCTTTGCCTGCAGGCCTATCTCGGCTGTATGGACTTCATGGGATGGCACGAGCACACCAGATTACTGTATAAACCAGAATCTGTTCTACCTGGTAGCAGCAGCGTTCAACATTGGTCTGGACGTCGCGATAGTCCTGATACCAATCCCGAACCTGATGACGCTGAAGCTCAGTTCGCGTAAGAAGGTCTTCCTCAGCGCGATCTTTGGCGTTGGTGGCATGTAAGTCAATCTACCCACTCAACATGATATCGTCGCATGCTAACAAAGATGCTTCAGTACCATCATAGTTTCCTGCATCCGCCTCAGCGCCGTCGCCAAATACGCCACCTCACAGAACCCCATGTACGACAACCTCATGTCCGGCGTATACTCCATCCTCGAGATCAACGTCGGCATTATTTGCGTGTCCATGCCAGCCTTCCGGAGATTCCTCGCTCAGTTGGTACCCAAATGCTTCGGCACGACGCAAAATAACTCCGATCCCAACGAAGACGACGACACTCCCAATCGGCCATCAAAAAGGAGAGGCAAGCCGAGCAGAAGCATGCTGGATGCAAGCTTGTTCAACACAACGATGGCGAGGACGGTAGACGATACGCTAGAGGGTATTGGAAAGGCGGATGACGAAGTACACCTCGTAGAACTGCGGAGAAGTGGATCAAAAACTTCGACGCAGAATATGGATGGAAGTATGCGAGGGCATGACGAGGAGAAGATGCCTCCTAGCTACCACGCTTCATGATATTACGAATTTTGCTGTTACAAAGCTTACGACGTCTTCCTGAAAACCATCCCAAACCAAACCTTGGTGCCGACCCACTTCCAACCCCTCTCTCCCACAGCACCACCCTTAACATCCTCCTTCCTCATCTCCCGTTCGTCCACACTCACTACCTCAAGTCCTGCAGTCTTCGCTGCCGCGGCAGTCTCCTCCACTGTGTAAACATAACTGCTTCCCCTAACCTTGACACCGTCTGCGTTGACAAAACCAGCTTGACTGACACGTCCCATGTCCGCATGCATGTTTGTGACCAACGCCGTGCCACCAGGTAAGAGCAATGCAACCAGTGTGGCGAAGTAGTCCTTCAGTGGGATGTGCTCCAGAACTAGAGTGGATGTGACAGCATGGACAGGTCGCAGGTTTGATACCGCAGGTAGCGGAGAGACTGATGGGTTATCGACAGTAGGGAAACAGTCGCAGCACTCTAGTCTTGACCGCACCCCTTGCTGGTCCTTCTCCTTCAACAACGGCGACAGCTTCTTCGCAGCGACATCCAACATGCCCTGCGAGAAGTCTAGACCAGTGACTTCTACGCTCTTTCCGTTCCAATCGTATCGCACAAGCTTCTCCGTGTTACGTCCGGTACCACATCCTAGATCCAGTACACGGAGCTCTTGTTCTGTCGCAGTGCTGCTCTTGACTTGGGATAAGAAGTCTGGGAGGAGGTTCCGAAGCTCTAGATCGTCAATCGCTTGCAACATGTTGCCATCGGTGTCGTAGATGGCAGCCCATTGGTCGTAGGCGGCTTGAGTTGGGATGTGCTGGACTGGAGTTGAAGGCTTTTGTGGGGCCTTGGTCGGTTGTAGAGTTGGTGTACGCTTTGCCGTTTGTTGGCCGTCTACAGTAGAGTCCGATTCAGTGGTCGAGAAGGAGGTATTGGCAGCTGCGTTGACGTCGACGAGGGACGTGTCGAAGGTCATGTCGATGGATGTTGGCTGGGTCATGTTGATAATAGTGCTCTCGAAGGCGGGATGAAAGATAGGTTGCTGATTGTAGATGGCAGTTGATTGGCAGGGCCTAGAAACAGATGACGAACAGTTACTGCAGATCTGAAGTGGGGTAAAGTTCCTGAGGATTGATGCTTTTCCTGCTCGGTGCCTGGAGAAGTCTTATATGCCAGCCTGCTTCAGCCAATGACTCTTCCGCACGCCCTCTCCACGCCCAGCATGTATCCAGCATTACCCAATTGGGCGATGTGTCGTGCAGCTCTCCGTAGCGTGAGTCACATCTGCATCTGCTGGGTTCTGGCTCGCGCTAAAATGGCCCCCGGTGTCCGCCGCGTCCGAACTTCACTCAACATGCGTTCGGTCCTTCCAAGCTGGCATGAACCGAGCTGCTGAGAGCTACGGTACGCTTCGCGTATGCGCATAGTCGCTGTTTCATGATGTCCATGACTGGAATTTGACGAGAAGTTCGTACAGCGTTCACTCCATTACTGCTCCCGAGTATCATCCTAAAATCAAGACCCATCCTCAAAGTATCTGGCAAGTATCCGGTCTCGATGCGTGACCAGGCGTGTGCGCGTCGTTAGCGCGTCGCGCAAACGCGTGTCAACCCAGCCCTTGCCCAGTTGCTCATCCAATAGCAGATGTGTATACGCAAAGACACTAGCATCGAACAAGCCCGGTCTTTGCGCGCCGAAAAACCAGTCGTCTTTACCCAGCAATGTCTCTAGTGTTGCGAATGCCTCGTCTGCCTGGTTGTAGAGCGTCTCGTCGTTGATAATGCTCGAGAACTTGAGCAGTTCGGTTTCGGCAGCCAGACGTAGTTCGCGGGATATCGTAAGGCGTACGAAGGGGTTGCGGGAGCTTGGCAGGATGTAGAGAGGTTCGGCGATGGTGGTGAAGTTGGGAGAGAGGTAGACAGTATAGAGCTGGGATATGTTAGCCGTGAGCCAAGTCGTCCTGTGATGAACGTACCCAAGCTCTCCGTATCCGATGGTCTAGCAGACTTAGGTATGCTTCGTAGCGCGGATCTCCAGGCTCTTCTATTGCCTTCTCACTGTTGTTCATGGCCCATCGTTGCAGTTTGTTCGAGGGAACAGGCTGTGTCCGCTTGTAAGGATCTGGTGAGGAAGGTATTATGAAGGGTAGCGAGCCGCTGGGAGAGGCATGGTTGTTTGCCGAGGCGACTCTGAAGGGGATTTTGGAAAACTTGAGGTACGCCTGCGACAATGTGAGCTTGGTGGTGGGGTATGGGCATCCATTAACATGGACTGACCTGCCACTTCAAGCACGCTGGGTTATGCGATGGTGCGCCTCGAATTGCTCCTCCATTAGTAGTAAATACATAGAGTACATGGGTGTCGTGATGTTGTGGTGCGCGTTGTGGGAAGTCGTTGACGGGATACGTGATGAGTGGGAACTGGTCGAACAGCTGCTTTATTGGAGTAGGGACGGAGAATAGGCTGCGCGACGATGGCTGTCTTCTGATACTTCTAGCGGAAGCGTTGTCATCGTCGGGTCGAGACATCATGGCTATGCGTGGTGATGCTGGCGATGATGTCGCAAAAAGTTGATGATGCGGCGGCCTCGGAGGAGAGCCCGCCGATGTCGTAACTGCGCGCTGCGACTCCCCTCAGCCCGCACGAAAGACATTCCCTTGACAACAACCAGACATTTCGTTCTCTGACCCTACCACCTGCATGCATCTCATCTATCTAAAGCGAGAGATCGTACATGTGGACCAAGCCATCTCGTTGCTGGCCGACTGCACAGCCTGCTCACAAGGCTAGCCGCACAGCCAATCGTTTGCTTCCTGGTGTAGGACCATCTGCAGAGAGTCGAGAGAAGGCTACCAATAGTCGACCGTACGAGGCTGTCAAGCCATCTCCATGTTAGCGCCATGTTCAAGCCTATCTATGATGGCCTTCGTTTGTGTTTACGGTCGTCCAGCGCCACTGGAAGCCAAGAGAGACGCATCTCTAAGTATAATGACGACAAGGCTGAGTCTGCATTATACAGACAAGATTTATTCCCTCAGTGGCTAGAGCTCATGAGGCAGATGAGAAGTTGCTCATGGTTTGGGGGGCAGTGCAGCTCAAGGCTGAGGCATTAGAGAGGTCAAAAGGGCCACCACCCCCATTTACTCCGCCCAACAAGGCTTTCGTCTTTGCTTTCATCTTACTGTCTTACGTATGCTATTTTGCAAATCCTAATGGCCATAGGAAGACTTCAAGCTGCACTGGCGGCCGCGACCAACGAAGTAACAGTAGCTGCAGCAAACCTTAACTTCGACTTTACCCTAGTCAAGTATGAGGCACCAAAGGAGTACCAGGCACTAGGAAACGTACTCACGTCAAAGCGCAAAGACGACGCCGAGCTCGGTTCCATTCACGTTCTAGCTAGGCAGCTAGGTGCGCTCTTCGATGGCATTTGTCCGGCAACACCTGCGCTTTTGGAGGCGTATGGCAAGCGAGCATCCGAAATCGCCCAAGCCTCGAAAGTCATATCCGAGCCATACGCTGGCACACTCTTCGGCGATTATACTGGCATTGATGGGACTTCTATCTGGGCGGCAGCTACTTCATCAAAGTGCGCTTTGCATGTTCATCTATTGGCGTGTCTGCTTGCTCGCGTGTGGACAGCGCCTGAAGCTATTGCGATCTGGGTCGAGATAGTAGCAGAGCGCAAAAGAGAAATAGCGCGCAAGGTCGACAACGAGGAACCAGTCGCATTCTCATTAGCGGCAGCAGTGGGACAAGATATTTCCCGGTCTCAACTCGCCGTTTGGGATACTAGTGCAAGAGCTTGGCTACGTACTGCCGACGATGTTTTCTGCCGACAACAAAAGCAACTTGAGCTAATACTCAAGAACATCGACCTCGCCGCGCCCGGTGGCCCGGCAGTTTTTCCGAGCGTCATTGAAACTTGGAAAATAGCAATCACAACCATGGACAGGCTGATCTCAGGAATACCACAGGCTGTCCAAGACGCTGCTGCGCTATTAGGTCTCTCCGCATGGCATCTCTATCCAGATCTGAGCCTTTATGACCCAGAGATGGTCGAAGTAAAGATGGGAGATTCACTCGTTGATACAGGTGGTGTATTGTCCATCGGTGTATCGAAAAGACCAGACATCACGGGGAGAGAAAACAGCATCTATTGGTCCCTTTCGCTGGCGCAGTTACGTTACTACGGCCATCCAGTCAAGGTGGAGAGAGGTCTTGGGGCCGAGTGTCGACTGACACTTGCTCAGCTTGATCTTGTGATATTTGCCGTCTTGCTTGAAGAATGGAGGTATGAGGAATCTGAAAGCGAGTCGGTTGCTAGAGCTGTTATATCTCTGGTCGACAGAGTCAACATGTCCCAGCTAGGGTCTCTACACGAGAAGCGACTGCTCAAGATACTGAGAGATGGCGCTTCCGCTTTGATCAATCCTCTCAACGGATCTCAAGACATGACTCGTAGGTTGATACAGCTGGGTCGCAGAAGGGCTCTTCGTTTGCTGTATAATTCGAATGATCCGCGCAAGCTTGATGAGCAATCTGCAGCTCTCTTCGACCTACTCGATGGCGAAAACTTCATGTCGCTTTTCAGGGATACAGAATCGCAGATTAGGTTCCTTCGTCATAAAGCGGAACTCTTAACTAGTGAGAACATTCCATCAGACGCCTACATCATACGGTATACTCAACCCGGCACGCCGTGGGTAGACGAATCCTCAGCTCTCGATAAAGATCGACCCCCTTGTCGAAGTAGCGCTCCGAACACTCCACGCTTATCAGGGTCCACAGCCATCACAACGCTCGAAGACCTGTCATTGCAAACACCTGATGCACCGGAGACCCTCGTAGAACGTCCGGCGGCTAAAGATACTCCCCGGCAAGAGCCTCATGCAAATCGGATATCTTCCGAGTACTCTACCGCAGCTCTTAATGATCAGACCGATAGTGAAGGAGAAAGTGACTCTGACTACTCTCTTGAATCAGAGGCCGAAATACTAGAGGATGACGTGGATGTCTCTGATGCTGAAGACGACCAGAATACTCATCGGCCGGTTGCCGTATCACACGCTTACGGGAATGGCTCTCGGTACTACCTCTTGGCTACTGCCTTGATTCCTGTGCCATGTGGGCAAGCGGAGAATACGCCTCATCATAGATGGGTGCCCAAACATCTTCGTGGCGTTGCCATCCCGGATGGAGAAGTGATTACTCGCGATATGGACGAGAAGTTCAACCTCTGGCATGATTGCATAAAGATTGTCGCAACAGAGCCTTCAGACGACTATGTGTATCATCATGTAATGGGTAATACGACGACGGCAGCGTTGTTCGCTCGTAAAATACCGGATGTCTTCGTCCCAGACCATTCGGATGCTACGATCGAAGACCTTCAGTGGTGCCTGGACAACGACCTTCTGAGCCCCACTAACCTGATACATCATATCTGCATCTCAGAGTCTTCTAGAGTTTCGAAAACTTTAGCCGCTTTTGCTAAAGCAGCCCTGATCTACGATGGCTTGACTGATGCTACTGTTGATGCCAACATTCTCAACTCTACTTTGACTAGCAAACATTGGGCTTCGGAAACTTGGCGTGTCACCATGTCTCCAGAACTTACACTCTCGTTAATAGCCTATTTCGAGTCCGGCACCCATGACATCGACCCAGATCAACTGAAGAATGTCATTGCCGTCTCGTATGCAAACTCTCTGTTTGTAGCCAGTGCGGTACGTTGATTTCTAGTGTATCTGAAGTATCTTCTGACGTCTGCAGTTGATTCAAGACCCGCTGGAAACCATGAAGAAGCCGTACTATCGAGCTTTCCGGAGGATCCTAGGAAATATAGGAAAGCCAGGGCTTACCTTCCTCTTGCCTCCTCAAGAACCAATAACACGAGAGATCAACATTGGGGGTTGGAACATCGATGGTTATCGTCGCTTCGACGGAACTAAGGGTAGCTCGTTCGAAAGCACATCTGTGCATCTTTCCTTCACAGAATATCACGTCCCACTCTTCGATGGCTCAAGAGGTGCGCATGACAACCAGATATCGTTTGTCGAATCCGTCATCTCCGTCCAAGACAAAGGGAAATGGGTCGCTGATATAGATCCTATTCCCTTGGTCGACGGGTACAGGGGTGCGGCCATAGACAGATGTGGTACACTTCGCCGGTTCGACACGAAACTCCCATGCCAGCACGCGATCAACACCAGTCCAGATTATGAAGCCACTGCAGTAGACACGTGGGACGAGCTACTTGATATGCCGACCGGTATCTGCGTCATTCGAGCCGGCAACAACTGGGTCGGGAGATTAGCCTCAACTCTGGTGGCATTCCAGCGAATGCGCGAGAACTCAACCGATTTTGCTATTACGGTGTGCCCAACTCATGTTTGCTGGATCTGCGAAAGATCGAGTTTTCGACACCACGCTTACATCTATTAAACATGGCTCTCACCTTACTTGGTGGATGATGACTGAGAAGATGGGAGATTTGCGCTAGGGATTTCCGGAAACGATAGATGATTGCAGGTATCTTGACTAGCTTCATCGTTCACTCGATATGAAATTGTAGCCAATGCACGAGAGTTTGTAATGAGAAGATGTCTTCACTCTTCTACAGTCAGCTAGTTCGTAGTCACACAGATTCAGGATATTTGGTCAAAGGGGGAATCAAATTCTATACATTCGGGTTATGACTTTCCCTTCTCCTTCACGAAGCGGGCTGCCGCTTCTTATATATCATCACTCATTAAAAGCCAGAGACAGTGCTCCAAAACCTCAAATACCTCCAGAAAGCAAATCTTGCGCTACGCAAACGCTTAGATAAGCTGCTGGAACGCACGGTCGAGAGGAGATCGGAGAGGCTTGACCTCCTTGTAGAAGTCAATGGTAGCCTTAGCACGCTTGGCAATGCCCTCGGGGGTGAACTCGAACTTGGCGTAGACCTCCTTGTATGGTCCGGAGGCACCGAAGCGGTTGAGACCGAATTGCTCGTGCGAGTACTTCTCCCAGCCCATGGTGGACATGACCTCAACACTGAGCGATGGGATACCGCCGGGGATAACTGACATCTTGTAGTCCTTGTCTTGCGCGTCGAAGACCTCGAAGCAAGGCAGGGAAGCAACACGGGCGGTGATGCCCTGGTCCTTGAGGGTCTTGACGGCCTCCAAGCAGAGAGAGACCTCGGAACCAGTGGAAACGAGGGTGATCTGGGCGTCCTTGTCCTCAAGAGCGACGTAACCACCCTTGATGGCCTTCTCAAGAGTTGAGCCCTCAAGCTGGGGCAGGTTCTGACGGGTGAGGGCGAGGATGGATGGCGTGCCCTTGGAGGTAAGAGCCATGTAGTAAGCAGCAGAGCACTCGTTTCCGTCGGCCGGGCGCCAGACCATCATGTTGGGCAGAGCGCGGAAGTGGGCGAGAGTCTCGATAGGCTGGTGGGTGGGGCCGTCCTCACCAAGACCAATGGAGTCGTGGGTAGCGACGTAGATGACGCGCTGGTGTGAGAGAGAGGACAGACGGACGGCACCGGCGGCGTATGAAACGAAGTTCAGGAAAGTACCACCGGCAGGGATGATGGTGCCGTATGCGGACATACCGTTCATGATGGCGGCCATGGCGTGCTCGCGGACACCATATCTCAGGTATCGGCCAGACCACTCACCAATGCCGAGCTCAGGGGGCTGGAAGTCGACGGCCTTCTTCCATCGGGTGTTGTTGGAGCCAGTCAGGTCGGCGGAACCGGACAGAAGCTCAGGGACGACATCGTGGATCGCCTCGAGGACGCTCTCAGAGAGCTTTCTTGAGGCAATAGCGGCGTCGGTGGGCTTGTATGTGGGGAGGGCCTTCTGCCAGCCTTCGGGGAGGTCGCCGGTCAGACGACGAGAGAGATCGGCGTGAAGCTCCTTGTGCTCCTCGCCGTACTTCTGGAAGAGCTTGTTCCACTCCTCCTCAGCAGCAGCACCCTCGGCGGCGTGCTTGTGGTACATGTCGTAAACCTCTTGGGGAACAGCGAACATCTTCTCGGGGTCGAAACCGAACTTCTCCTTGACCTGCTTGCAGTCGTCGGCCTTGAGGGGGTTTCCGTGGACACCGCCGGTACCCTGGAGCTTGGAACCGAAACCGATGGTGGTGGTGAGCTTGATCATCGAAGGCTTGTCGGTGACCTTCTTGGCCTCAGCGATGGCCTTCTCAATGCCCTCGAGGTCGGAGTCACCGTCCTCGACGTGCAGTACGTGCCATCCGTAGGATTCGAATCGCTTCATGACATCCTCAGTGAAGGCGCACTTGGTGTCACCGTCTGTATGACGTCAGTCCCCGTTTTTCCTTTCGAACTCTCTGCCAAACTTACCAATGGAGATGTGGTTGTCATCGTAGATGGCAATGAGGTTTCCGAGCTTCAAGTGACCGGCAGTGGAGGCAGCCTCGCTGGCAATACCCTCCATAGCGCAACCATCACCGAAGAACATGTAGACGTGGTTGTTGATGAGCTCGTAGCCGGGCTTGTTGAAGACGGCGGCGGTGTGCTTCTCAGCAATAGCGAGACCGACGGCATTGGCGAAACCCTGACCAAGAGGGCCAGTGGTGACCTCGATACCGGGGGTGTCGTGGGACTCGGGGTGACCGGGTGTGATGCTGTCGACTTGCTGCAGCGGAATTAGTTTTGACAGGCAGTAGAATTGTCTTGAATACGTACACGGAAGTTCTTCAGGTCGTCAATGCTGACGTTGTAGCCGAAGAGGTGGATCAGCGCATACTGGAGCATGCATCCGTGACCGTTGCTAGGCACTCAGTCAGCTTTTCCGTCTGATAAAACATGGGATGTTGCAGCCACGCCAATGCAAGCAATGTGTCTGCGCGGAGATGTTTCTAGTGCAAAAGCCACAACTGGATCTCCGACAGCGGCTGACATCAAGAAAGCAATGCTCTCTTATCTGCCGTCGCCGCGGAGATCCGCAACTTCTCATCCAGGACACCCCAGAACCATTGCGCGATTCCAAGTCTGCCATGACTGCCATTGTATGTGTTGAAAAGTACAGAAAAGTACGTACGAGAGGACGAAGCGGTCGCGGTTGACCCATTTGGGGTTCTTGGGGTTGAAAGTCATGAACTTGTTCCACACAACGTGGGCCACCGGGGCCATACCCATGGGGGCACCCGGGTGGCCGGAGTTTGCCTGGAATGTGGCATCGACCTATATGAAAACACCAAAAGTCAGCCATTGAATCTCTCAAACGACCCTCAACAGCCTCCAACAAGCTGCTGCCACTTTTGTTGGGAGCAGGACTGCTAGCGGGGTAGCTATTGATAATGGTGGGGCGGCCTCCAAAACAACAGAGGGATGGAACGTACCGCTAGGGTGCGGATGGTGTTGATAGCGAGCTCATCGGTCTTTCCGTACGGCATGATGGGCAGATCTGTCGATGGGGAAAAGATTGAAAGAAGAGAAGTTGTCGCAGACGTGCTGGTGTTTAGGTTTTGTAGTTATAGTGGGGTGGCTAGCCGTCATGCCTGCCTCACTCACAACGCCAGAGTGGACGTTTTAGTGGGGTCTCTCAAAGCCCGATTACATCAACCAGTCGCCGCACTTTCTGCCACAACATGCCACATCCCACCTGCTGCGTGTTACGTTTTTAGTAAGCCTGCGCCGTGTGCTGACATGGTTTGCCGTGTCTCGTCCTGTCTCGTCCCGCCGGTCAATGGCGCGCTGCAGCTGCTGCAAGTGACTGTCCATTACTAACCTCTTGCCCTGGCCAGCCTCTGTTCCCTCTGCATCCGCCATGCGCCGAGAACGACCGCACTGCCGGACGACAGTGCCCCGATAGCGCAGGGAACGCCTCTCTCAGACTCTTGCTCGAACTTATTGCGCCATGCAGAAAACTCACGATGCGACAGAATTCTTCCGGGCGGCTATCGCGACACCCGGGATCGGCGCCGCGGCCGAAACAGAACTGCGTACATGAGGCTCAATCGTGAAAGCCCCAATACAGACGTCTCGACTAGAGCCGGACATTTAACCTGTTTATTCTCCGGTTGCGCTGAGAGACTGCGACGACGTGAGACTAGGCTGCTAGGGCAGTTGGGTAAATAGAGCGCCCGCCATGCTATATACCGCTGGCTGGCTAATCACAATCTCAACACCATGGAGTCCCTGTACCAAGGCCGCTCAACCAGGCTGTTTGATTGACGAGTCAACCATGGAAAATCAATATGTGTATTGTTACAATTTCGACATACGTAAAAGAACAAATGAGCGCTGTGGGTATCTATCTCGTACTGTACAAACATGTAAAGGAAATGACAGTCTTGTCGTCTTCCATCCCCTCCTCCGTTTCCACCATCATCATTCATTAAGAAAATCTATACACAAGAAAAGGTTATGTAATCAAGAATCGAACTTCACCTCGCAGTTCCTCATCTCCACCCGACCTCCAGGAATAGGTCCTCGCCCTTTTTCCTCGGCGTGAGTCGGGGTACCCATGCAGGACTCTTCAATCCGTCCCGATCGAAGTCGACGTTTACGTCTCGGCCGATGTTCAACTCGGACATCTCGTCTCTCTTCCTCCTCACATTCAACGGCCGCACGACGTCTTCCTCGTACATGACTGGGCTTCTACCCCAAGCACCACTCTGCACGCGACTCTTACGGTCGATACCCGTCTTTGAAGCAGGTGTCGTGCTCCACGACTCTGTGCTGTTGCTGCGCATGTGTGACCGAGTCCTGCGCGGAGGACTA